GAACCAACGACTACGCTTTTCACTTGACTTATGTCTAAGCAAGTTCAAAGTCCTAAGACATTCCCTAATATGTCTATTATGAGAGATATCTTAGTTTTAGGATGGAARTAGTCGCAACCTCGGGTTAAGGTCCTATGTCTAGGCTACTTAASYGGAAYCCTTATGTCTAAGGCGCTCCTCTCCTCGGTYTAACCACTCAACAATGCAAAGAAGCAACCTTTTCAGTATTGACTTGTTAAGACTTACAGTGGCCTTCTCTAAATCCTAACTTTTTGGGAAAACATGTTGAGCAATGAGTGGAAAGCAGAAACACTACTTCTTAGCAACCCTTTTTAGAAATAAAAGGCTAACCATCCATAACCGGGCTAGAGACGGGAATTTAGAAAGACATATTGAAGAAAATACAGCAAGTAAAATGGTTGAAATTGAAATGCATGTGTGAAAAACAAAAGTTAACTAACGGAGAGTTTTGCTCGGGATTGAGAGCTTCGCCCTTCTCTTTCAAGCAAGGGGGAGTGATAAGAATCATGGTGTTCCGCACGTCTCCACTGGACCTATTACACGAGCCAAGGCTAAGAAGCTTCAACAAGTATTCCTTATTCACGTACAAAATTGGATAGGCTCAGTTCAACCTTTATATCAGATGCTGCAAAATAATCCAAGAGAGGACGATGTTGTGAAGGTCAACGTTTGCAAGATTGACGTTGTGCCAACATTTTAAAGATTCATTTGTTGTTTCTAAGTCATCAAACTTTGCTTGTAATTTTTGAGTTTTTGGTCTTCCAAATTATGGTTTCATCTTTAGAGTTCAATTCTGGGAAGTTATTAAGTAGACCAATTGTGGTCATTACTACTTATGGGTTTTATTGTGGAAAGTGAAGGGTTGGGGGTTTCACTCATATAATGGCTATAAAAGGTCCCATCCAAGCTATGTAAAAGGCAGATTTTAGCTTAATGAAATTTGATCTCTCAAGAGACATTTTCTTTAGAAATCCCATTGCCATTTCTAAGGTTTCTTGCAATTCTTGTGATAGATTGCATTTTGAGCCATTCAATCCAGTCTTGATCAAGTTTGATTGTGGAATGACTCATTCTAGAACAAGATCTTAATTCTTGCTTCTAGATCTTTGATCATAGAGGTAATCAATTTCTAGCCTTTCTCTTGGTTGATTCTAACTTGTTTAAGGAGGTGTTAATTTCTTTGATTCAAGGGTTCTTGCTCAACAAAAGCTTGAATCATTGGGCTGAGAATTAGGATTGCCTTATCATTTGTATCAGAGCATAGGTTGCATCTTTGTTGTCTACTCTAGAATTGATTCTATCTTTCATTTCAATTGTTCAGTGTTGATTTCTTGAAAAAAAAAAATCTAGAAGTTGTTCAAGTAGTGTTCTTGAGTTGTTCATTCATATTTCTCTTTAATCCGTTTCAAATTGCACGAAACTTTGTTGTTCATTGATAGTTATAATCAAATGTTGTTGTGACTGTCCAAATTCGTAACTGCAGCATTTAATGATTGTAATGCCTATTGAAACTCCTTGATAACGTGCGAATTTAATTGTTTCTTCTGAAGTGAAACGTTAGATCTGAATGTTACCTTTCAATGTTAAGAAGAGCATTTAGTCAAAATCATAATGTAATATATTCGTGTTTGGAATTCCGTCTCTGTGTGCAATTTTAACGGAAAAACCCTGCTTTGCTTCTATACTTTATTCTTTTCAGAATTCAAGGAATTTGTCATTCAAATTTATTCTCTTTGCTTCATAAAGACTAATTCCATCATATTTAGGACTGTCTCTTTATTTGTGTGGCACATATCTCTGAATTTCGTAGAAGGCATCCTATCGTTGTTTTCTTTGTTCTAGTTGAGATTTCATAATTATCTTGTCTTGGCTGTTTTGTAATGTTCACTATTACAAGAATTGCTTGGACCACAAGTTAGCCTACCCAATATCAACATTTAGTCACTTTCCCAAATAGCCTACCTTTGTGTGTGATAGACAGGAGTGTTCCGAGTGAAAATCAGTGAGTTGAGTGTGTGAGGTCCTAAACATATTTAACTACTGTTTGTAACATCATGAATCGAGATGGGTGAAATGGAACGGATATTAGTGAAGCTTGGTGGAGAGAAGTACAAACCCGGGCCATTACTCGTTTAAACCAAGTAATTAGTACCTTGGCAGACCGGATGGAGCGAATTGAAGTAGCTTTAGGAAATCATCAAGGAAGGGAAGTTAATGAAGGAGTTGAAAATGAAGAAGAAGATGACAATGTAACCCTTTTAGCCGGGCACAATCCGAGGGGAGTAAGAGGTGCAGGCCGGGGGAGAGGAAGGGGAAGAAGAGTGGGAAGAGAAATGTTACCACTAAGCAGGGTTGATAGGGAGTACCAATATGAAAGGGAAGAGAGAGGGGC